CCTTCCTCGAAAAAACCGAAAAATAACGGCAGTAATAATAATAACAGCGCCGTTAATTTCAGCTCCAGCAATGGTAGCGGCAATAGCAGCACAGTCACCAGCAACAATCTGAGTAGCGACATGACTTTGATGGACGAAAACGATGATGTCATCATGAATGCATCATTTGGAAGCCCGAAAAACATTCAATGGGCCCAAGGAAAAGCCGGCGAGGATCGAGTCCATATAACGGTCTCACAAGAGCACGATTGGATCTTCGTAGGGATTTACGACGGGTTTAACGGGCCCGATGCCACCGATTTTCTCTTGAACAATCTCTATTCCAATGTTCGTAAAGAGGTTAATGGGCTTTTGTGGTGCGACGAAAAGAACGAATCTTTCGAGGTTTCGAGAAGTTTAGATAGTAAGGAAAGAGTTGAGCTCGATAGGAAATTACGGGAGAAGTTGAGTAGTTTTGAAGGCAACGGCATTATTACGACCGTGAATCATTTGGGAATTTTGAAGGCGTTATCGGAGGCTTTGAAGAAAACCGAGGCTTCGTATTTGGATATAACCGACATGATGTTGGTCGAAAATCCCGAGCTAGCTTTGATGGGTTCGTGTGTTCTTGTAATGGTGATGAAAGGTATTTGATGAACGTTGGGGATAGTCGTGCGGTTTTGGCTCGGGAAAAGGATGAGAATGACAACGATTTTGAATCTCATTTTGGGAAATCGGCCAAAGATTATGAAGAATCTTTGTACGGTTATGAGTATGACGATGTGCGTCATTTGAGTGCTCGGCAGCTCACGATGGATCATAGCACATCGGTTAAAGAGGTGATTTTTTTGTTGGATTTTAGTCATGTTATGTTAAGTCCTCTGTTTGATGTTTATAAAGCCAAAATATGTTTTGTGTTTGTTTGGTCTGATTGTATTTGGGCTGTTTTTTAGGAAGTAAGAAGGATTAGAAACGAGCATGTAGACGATCCTTTTGCGGTTTTCAATGATCGAGTGAAAGGTTCGTTGAAGGTCACCCGAGCGTTCGGAGCCGGTTATCTCAAACAGGTAAAAAAAAATTATGTTTCTTTGTTTCTCTTCTTGTGTGAATAAACCGATATATTTCTTGGTGCATTAGCTTCGGCATTAGCCATTCTATAAGCGAAAATATGTTTCTACATTAGCTCGTTGCAATTAACCTGCTAATCGACATCTAACGAATATGAGAGAAAATTTTCGAATTGATCGACGAATAATGTTTTATCTTTCGTTAATTTTTTTTTTTTTGGCAGCCCAAATGGAACAATGCGCTTCTTGAAATGTTTAGAATCGATTACGTTGGGAATTCGCCTTACATCACGTGCTCACCGACCCTTTGCCACCACAAATTGGACTCGAAAGACAAATTCTTGATACTGTCCTCCGATGGCCTTTACCAATACTTCACG